CAGACAAGACTGATCAGTTTATGGGAAGGTAGGAGGAAGAAAGAGTGAAGCCTTCCAAAATCCATTTGCATCTAATGACAACTCTCTGGTGCAACTGGAGACCAAGCACCTTCTTTTGACACCCAACCTGGGAGATATATCCTAGATACAGGGTCTTTCTGAGCCAGCTCCAGGCTACCACAGCCAAGAGAGAGCTCAGAGCCAACAGCCTGTACATTGTTACAGTTCAATTCTCTGCTTTATTAGATTTATGGGTTTCTTTTGCAACTATATTTTAAGCTTTTGAGATTTCTGTCTGCCCCCAAGGTAGCAAATTCAAGAAGAGCTGCAGTGTTGCAGCTCTGTATGTTGTAATCCAAAGCACAGCGGTTTTTCTCCATCAAGCTGCAGGGCTCAGGTCATTCACCAAATGCCTAAGAAAATGGAGAAGTCCCTTTTGGTGTTTCTGGCAAGAGGGAGGGAAACGGGGAGGCAATACCTGAGTTTAGAAAAATTCCATACTCTGAGATTCCCCTGAGCCAGGCAAACCCTGAGAGATTCTCAGCACACAGACACGGCTCACAGACCTCATGGGTTCTGCAATGCCTCCTTCACCCGACTTGTGAAGGCCTAACATAAAGCTTGGTATCTTCAGAGAATCCTTTGACCCTATATATCACGAGGGCACTTTCCTGGACAGTGACTGAAGAGGAAAGAAAAACAGAAAAAGCTCTTACCTCACAGACCTCATGGGTTCTGCAATGCCTCATGTACAGCCTCCTTCACCCAACTTTTGAAGGCCGAACATAAAGCTTGGTATCTTCAGAGGATCCTTTGACCCTATATATCACATGAGGGCACCTTCCTGGACAGTGACAGAAGAGGAAAGAAAAGCAGAAAAAGCTCTTAGCAATCACAGAATCACAGAATGCTATGGGGTTGGAAGGGACCTCTGGAGATCAGCCCATCCAACCCCCTGCCAGAGCAGGTCCACCCAGAGCAGGTTGCACAGGAACGTGTCCAGGTGGGGTTTGAATGTCTCCAGAGAAGGAGACTCCACCACCTCCCTGGGCAGCCTCTGCCAGGGCTCTGCCACCCTCAAAGTGAAGTTCCTCCTCATCCTCTTGAGACCCTCCCTTGAAGTATTTATAGGCGTTGATCAGATCCCCCCTCAGCCTTCTCTTCTTCAGACTAAAAAGACAGAAGAGCAAGGATGGGGCAAAGATTCATCGTCCTCCTGTGTCCCAGACCTGATTAAAATCCTGACCACAGCAGTCAGCCTTCTCTTCTCCAGACTAAAAAGAGAAGAGCAAGGATGGGGCAAAGACCTGTCATCCTCCTGTGTCCCAGACCTGACTAAAGTCCTGAGCACAGCAAGCACTGACGTAAACTTGAGGACACCTGCAGCCAAAGGATCTGGTGACGGATGGTCCTGGAGACTGGATTTCATTAACTTTCCAGGGATTAGTGATGTGGACATTTGACTCTGAAATAGAATGAAACCACTTTGGCAGAAAAAAAAAAAATAATATTGGAATATATTCTCTTGGAGGTTTTTCCCGCTGAAGGCTGAGTCCCATGACTGCCTGTGCTGCAGATGGCCCCGCAGCCAGCTCAGATGCCACCACTCTCAGAGAAGGGCACACAGGCACATCAGCAGGATTTTGGGATGCACACTCTGCTCACCACTTTGGATTATCATTGGAAAGGAGATGAGCAGGAGGCAGCGAGGGGCTGGCCAGGCCTTTAGAGAGATTTGCAGGAAGAGCAGGTACAGACCATGCACAGACACCACTGTAGCTCTTGTGCAGGGGACACAGAGAGATGACACTAGAGATGATGTCAAAAATGATGCTACGAGCCCTCTCGCAGCCATCCACCGAGCACACACTGGGTAAACAGCCCCGTTGTCCTCTGTTTTCACCTTCCAGGAAGGAATGGCTCAGTGCTGCGACTGCTCCAGCAGCTCCGTGGCTCTAGCAGCTGCGACTGCTCCAGCAGCTCCGTGGCTCTGGCAAAATGGTTTGCGTTGGAAGGGACCTTCAAGATCATCCTGTTCCACCCCCCTGCCCTGGGCAGGGACACCTCCCACCACACCAGGTTGCTCCAAGCCCCCTCCAACCTGGCCTTGAACCCCTCCAGGGATGGGGCAGCCACAGCTTCTCTAGACAACCTGGGCCAGGCTCTCACCACCCTCACAACAAAGAAGTTCTTCCCCAGATCTCATCTCAATCTCCCCTCTTTTAGTTTAAAATCATCACCCCTCATGCTGTGGCTCCCTTCCCTGATCCCAAGTCCCTCCCCATCTCTCCTGGAGCCCCTTTAGGGACTGGAAGGGGCTCTAAGGTCTCCCCGGAGCCTTCTCTTCTCCAGGCTGAACCCCCCCAACTCTCTCAGCCTGTCCTCCCAGCAGAGGGGCTCCAGCCCTCCCAGCATCTCCGTGGCCCCATCCAAGGGACAGAGGAGCAGCAGTGCAGCTCACATCAGTCCCAACCCACCATCCCAAGACTTCTCCCCTTCCCCATCCACACTTTTTCCCAGGGATAAAACCCATTTTGGAACTTTTCAGGCAAAGGTCAGGCTCCGTTTGGTGCAGCCCCTGCCCACGCTTGGCTGCACATCTACCCCAGTGACGATGGCTGCAGCCAAACAAGGGACAAAGAAGCTCCAGAGAACAAGTGCTGCATTCACGGGAAGGCACATCAGACCCCAGGGCTGACAATCAGTGCTGACTAACTCCTTCAGACTGTGACACACACATCGCCTGGGCTTGCTGAGACCCCTCTGTGCAGCCCTGGGACCTTTTATCTCATTTTTGGGGTGTTTTGGGGGTCTTTAAGTGATAAAAATCAACTGAAAACAACCCCACGCCACGCTGCAATTATAAATCCAGCATGAAGCACCTTGAGTGGTATCTTCACAGCTGTGGGACCATTTATCTCATTTTTGGGGTGTTTTGGGGGTCTTTAAGTGATAAAAATCAACTGAAAACAACCCCACGCCACGCTGCAATTATAAATCCAGCATGAAGCACCTTGAGTGGTATCTTCACAGCTGGTAGCTAAATAGTCACTTCACTGGAGTCCTCCCAGTTCATTGCTCAATCCCAGCTAGGCACTGAAAAAAGCAAGGGGGAGAGACAGAAATGGGGCTGGGGGATAACTCCAAAAATAAACAGCCAAACCTATAAACTTATCCTAAGGATTTCCTTCATCAATTTGTGCTTCCCTCCAGCAAAGAGATATAAAGAAGCTTCAGAGTCTTTGATTTGGATACCAGATTAAGAAATTAGTCTCAAGCACAGAAGGGTGCAATTCAAATGTTATCTCCACATCCAGGGCCAAGTCCTCAGCTGAGGAAGAGCTGAGCCACTCCGCTCCCTACTACGCTGTATTTATTACTCGGAAAGATCTGGAACTCAGCCCATGATCTCATGCAGCAACTGGCCCCTCAAACAAGACCTCGCACGTGAGTGAAAAACAAAGTCAAACCCATGGTTTTTACAACGTTGTTCAAGGAAAGAATGTACAGAGCGGGAGAGATGATATATATCCTGTCACTGAAAGAAGAGGCAGCTGAAGAAATCCATGAGCCAAGCAGAGCCCCCGATGTGTAATAACAGAGGAGAGGCAGGGTCGCTCAGCAGCCAGCAGGGTCTTTGCATGGAAATCCTGTGCAGAGGTTGTGCCCGAACCACCCTCTCCGTGGAGGATGTTCATGGGACAAGGACATGTTCTCCAGCACAGCAGAAACTTCACAGAGATGCTTCTTTTTGTTTTTTGCTGGAAATCCTGTGCAGAGGTTGTGCCCGAACCACCCTCTCCGTGGAGGATGTTCATGGGACAAGGACATGTGCTCCAGCACAACAGAAACTTCACAGAGATGCTTACTTTTGTTTGTTTGTTCTGTTTAAGTAACTAACACTTCTGCTTTACTCTGACCAGAGACAACATTGTCTGTTGACCCTCATTTTTCCAGTATCATGATCGCAGACTAATTTGTCACAGCATGCTAAAGCAAATTTTGCCCAGTATTATCCCCTATACTAAAAATGTTATCTGACAGATAGAAGGCTTTCCTGCTTCTGCCAAATGCTATATATTTTCAGGACTGAAACACGTAGCAAAGTAACCAGGCGTGTGGGCAGTGGCCTGAATTATTATGGGGCAAGAGGAAGACAGAACTCAAGAAGCAACCAGTGACATTGTCAAATGAGAATAATACACCGAATATACAAGTGATGGACAGGATACACATCCTCCTGATGCTTTGTCCACAAAGTGAAACAAAACCCATGACATACAAAACTTGCACCTTGAATATTTGCTAAACTACATCTAATTTAAAAAAAAAAAACAAAAAAAAACAACCCAGCAGTCAAAGAAGCCAGAAAAATGAATCCTAAGCAAAACATCTCAAACTCTTTTTGAAGTGTTAATTATAGTGTATAATGGCAGTCTGTACAGCTCATGTATACACTGGATATAGATCAACGGACAGCAAAGCGTGCTATGTATGCCAAGGTAAGTAATTCAAATAATTCTGTTCAAACAAAGGCACTAATTTGAGGTAATCAGCACAGGACAAATCACTTTAAGTGCCTGGTTCTTACTCTTGCATTATCACAGGCCAGGAGCAATGGCTATAGGACAGCATTTAAGAAGATCACAGGTGAGGCTCCCATCTCCCTAATTACTACCAGCTCTTCAGATGCCAGTGTCTGCACAGGTATGTGTTCACAAAGCAGCATGAGTGGAGGCAGCACCTCTCTCTGTCAGCCCTAAACACCAGAGGATCCATCTGTCTCCCACCCACTCCACAACCTGCCTGGTTTGGGCATTACTTGGGAGAGGGAGGCCCTTTACTCACCCCATTACACTTGTTTTGATCCACGCTCACGAGCAACCTACGTCCAGATGGGGGATTTCACATCCTACTGAACACTGGCACCATTAGCCTTTTGCCTTTAAGCCAGGTGATCACCCGGCTCAGCTCATGTCCCTGCTGAGTTAACTCCTTACCTTCTTTTGAGCTGGTGGTGACGGCAGCAGCAGTGGTCCCTGATGCCCGTCCCACCGGGCTGGAGTGCTTCCCAGCCCTGCCGGGGATTTTAAGTCCACTTGGCTTCAGCATGTTTGCTGTCTCCTGCAGCTCAGGCTCCCGGTGCCAATGCTTTATACAGCTGTCCTGGTATCACCATTCAGGCTTCTTGATGATGGACCTCGTCTTCCATTGCCACAGACCTGGGAGAGAGGAGCACAAAGAAATCAGATAGAGAATAGGTGGGAGAGCACCAAACAGGCTCCCAGAAAGCCATGCCCAGCTGCCTCCTCACATTCCCCAGGAGGGCCAGGATCTTTCATTTCTTCTCCTGTAAAACAAGGGTGATCATCGCCTTCATTCCCCATCTTAACATTACATCTCCCCAGCCTTGCGGTCTCACTTCAACTGGAGCCCTGGACCAAAGCTGAAGTCTCCCAGAACCAGCAAACCAGAATTTAAATTCAGTTTGGGATTTGAGCGACGGAAACTATTGACTGGTTTTAAATTCTAAAGTCTCAGCTCATGCATCAGCCAAGCCTCAGTTCTGCTGCTCTGTGAAAGCACTGTCAGAGCCCTCACCGAGGACACACCAACCACCCTTGGGAGGAGACCTTTGGTGCACGGTCCCCATTTTCACCAGACTTCAGGGCAGCCTCTCCAAACTCCCAGGAGTCACCATCCAAGATAGATAAGGCTTTTCAGATCCCTCCATTAAGAACAAATCCAAAACCTCGCTACAGAAAAAGGGCACCTGAGCCCATGGATTTGCAATAACCCTGAAAAAATCTTCCCGAAATCTAAGCGTGGCTCTACCAACTACTTGTTAGTGAAGTCACATAACTCTTCCCTATGCCATTCCCTTCCTGGTAGGCAAATGGAATAACACCTCCAAATTTCTTGCAAGGATGTTGCGTTAACAAGCACACAACTCCTTGAGGAAAAAGGTTTTATGACAAGAAAAGAAAAATAAAGGAAGTGACTAAGTTGCTTTAAAAAAAATGCAAAAACATTCCTAATGGATAAAGAAAAAACAATAAAAAAAAAAACCAACTATCAGCCAAAAGGAAGCTAAGGCTGGCTGGCTGAGCAGGCTGGGATGCGGAGGGAAGAAGGTGTGAGCCCGGGACAATGCCAACATAACAAAGGGAATTGCAAGGAAAAGAAAACCACGGACCAGCCAGAAGCCAGGGGACACCCAGACCTGCCTCCTGGGCCAAGGAAGGAGGCAGCACTCCAGAAAATGAACGTAGCAAAGATTTACAGATGTTGTAAGAGGTGGGGGGGGGGACACTGCAATAGGAGGGACGGGAAGTGATTAAGGCATGAGTAAGGATTTCAACACAGGCGCTCCAGGGAAAGCTGCAAGCAGACACAGAGGAGGAAAAACCACAAGGAGAATTCCAAAACTCTGTTCCTGAGGGCTCACAAATATCCGAGACACCAAAGAGGGTTTCAGCAGTAAGAGTCAGGCATCCCACGCCGGCTTAGAGGGACAAAGAAAGGAGGGATCAGCAGAGAGAGCCAGGGAGGGAACCTGAGTGAAAACCCACAGGATTGAGCCCCATCTCTTCCCCACGTCCCCCACAAAAGGGTGGTCAACACCTGGGGTGGCTCCAGACACCTGCAGACAGCACCAGCTGGGGAGCATTTAGCTTACACACCAGTCAAGGCTGTTTCTGAGAAGCAGGATGCTCAGATCCCAGCCCCAGCAGCAGGAACAATGGACAAGAGCAAGCAGTTCTTGTTAAGGAAGAGAAAACGCAGCCTTCCTGTGCCAGAGCCAGCGAGGACCAGATGCCATCACGGAGCTGGACAGGAGGCTGCACTTCCCACCTCTATTTAGCATAAAATAGGGAGACAAGTAACAATCCAGAGGTGAAAAACATTGATCAGCCTGGTTCCTCCTGTCTGTCAAGCCATCAGACATCTCCCTCCCGCCCACCCCATCTCCTATGACACATTTTGCCCAGGGCTACCTTTGATTTTTACAGAGTGACTTGATTTCTGGCACGTCTGCTGGCAGGTGATGTGCTCCACCAAGAGATCTCAATCCCATCTCTGTCAGCTTCAACCCGAAGGTGTGCTCTCTTCACACACCTTTCCTCCTGGATTTACACGTCTCATCGCCCACTCCTACCTTTTGGCCACCAGGTTTGATGCTGCACTTGTGATTAAGTGACCTGGAGATGCTGCTGCTTCCAGATAAAATGTGATGGCTGGCTGAACCCACAGCCGGGAATACGGATGGAGGAAGGATAAAAGGACATAGAGGTGGGATAAAACAGTAGTAAAGAAAAATTTAAGCAGGAGAAGGTGCCAGAAGAACAAAAATATTTTATAGCTTTCCTGGCCTCTGTTAGAGGGAGTCTCTGGATCCCTAACTTTGTAGCCAGGACCACATAAACTTTAAGGAGACAGTTTTTCTCCTCATCTGTGAGGAGAAAGGGAACTTCAGTTCACTCTCCCTCCACCACTCACTATCCCAGAAGGTCAGCTGGCCACACAAGTCACAGGGTGTTGTGATATTCTGCTCCTTCTCTGCATAACTGGGGGAGGAAATGCATTCCCACTGCATAAAGATTTCTGCCAGAAACCTTTATGCAAACACATTTGCTTTCAACATACTAATGCTGAAAAACAAATGAACTCCACAGGCTGCTAATTAAGCCACCCTCGGAACAGATAGCTTCTTTTATCCAGAAATACAATCACCACACTCCCCGGGGGCTCCACGCCACACACCAGACTCAAAAACTGCTGAAGTGCCACCCTGGGCCACAGGCAGGCAGCCCCTGCGTGCCCAGCCACACTCCGTTCACAGGGACATCTGGTGGGGCTCAGCTCCTGTATCTAAAGTTCATTCTCATCTCCAGGAGCTTCAGAGTGACCAGAGCCAGGGAACAGGGATGGCCGCCTTAGTGCCATCCTGCACTCATCATCACACAGGGAAATCAGGATGAATTTGTGTAAATTTTGCTGTAACTGCAGCTTGTTAGAAATACATAGATAAAGAAATACGTAGATAAAAGTGGACGGGATAAAACTTGACCCTGGCCCAGGTTGCCCAGAGAAGCTGTGGCTGCCCCATCCCTGGAGGGTTCAAGGCCAGGTTGGATGGGGCTTGGAGCAACCTGGTCTGGTGGGAGGTGTCCCTGCCCAGGGCAGGGGGGTTGGAACTGGATGATCTTGGAGGTCCCTTCCAACCCAAACCATTCTATGATTCTACAAAAAATATCTGGGACATCTTTAAAGACGCCTATCTATGCCTTCTCCTAGGGACAGATACTCCTGTCACTAGTTTCTCCTCCACTTCAACACAAGAACGCATGAGCAGATTTTTAGGAAGCTCCAAACGCCGAGCTCTTCCGAATTACACCATTAGGTCATCTTCACCTCCCAGAGCAGCGCTGCCCTGAGCCGTCCAAGTCCCACATTATTGTCCAACCGAGTGATGCGGCTTTTGTGCTGCAGAAATATCCTCGGCCTGGGCCCCAGGCCAGCATCTCCACAGGGCACTGCCCTGCTCCATTAGAGATAACAACTCGCTCTGAGCTCCCATATCGTGTCCTCAGCATCCCAACGGGCTCTATTAGTAGAGCCCTTCTGAAAAACCCGTTTCCAGCAGTAGATGCTGAACATGGGAAGACACAATGCCACATGGGGTGTAAGAAACATTTTTCTTTTTCCTATCCCTGCATAAGCTGTAAGCTTTGCCCTCCCATATAACTCATGGAAACATTACTTTCTCCAGACACACTAAAAAAGCTTCCATCTGCCCCTGTGGATACTCTGGGGCCACCAGCTCTGCTTGTTTTGTTTTTCTTCCTTTTTCCAAGATGACACAGATTACAAGGATTTTCTAGATCTCCGCTAGATTCTCCCTGCAATCTTTTCATACTGGGATGAATGGTTCTGTCTGTTCCCACAACCAAGAAAAGCATCCCAGGAATGCACAGTCTGAAAGCCTGCTGCAAATGACCAAAACATTCTGTTCTCCATCTTTCCATCAGAAAAGGGGACAGCTGGATCTGAGTCACCTGGGCTTAGATTCAAGAAGGGGAACAGTTCTCAACTATGTACAGATGTACATCCAAAAAACACCTTTTGGCAGGAGCAATATATCTGGATACACAAGGATCCACCACTCTGGCCAGGCATCAGAACAGCACACGTTAAAAATAGAAGAACAACTGGAGGTGCTCAGACTTCAATTATTTCTCAAAAATTAAATGAAACAAGGGTTGGAAGCAAAAGCTTTTGTCAGTCTTGCCTTTTTCTCTGCTTCAGCCATCCCTCCTACCCTCAACAAGGCACACCAGTACATGCTTGCCACGTGGAATGCCATCCCACTGAAGACAAAGCAGGCTCCCAGATCCAGCGCACGCCCCAGAAGGAAACCCTCATGGGTATGTGCCAATCCACGGATCTGTTCACCCTGACATATTGAGTGAAACAACTGCAAGACACAGGAACAGGTTTCCAGACACCAGATTGAGTTGGCCTGGATCCCATCCCAGGCCTGGTGCTTCCTTCTGGATGGATCTAGATGCAGAAGTGTTTATCCAACACGAAACCTCAGCAAGGCACAGGGACCTGGTTGGGAGGGTGGCCCCGAGTGGAGTTCAGACCAGCTGCATCTGAATACTACTGTAACACTTACACATATACAATACTCTGTGGGGAAATACCCCCTGATCTCTTAAAATTAAGTATATAGCCAAAAAATTAGTATTGAAATTCAGGTTTTGAATTTTCTAAATTCCACATGTAATGAAATTTGAAGTTTGCAGTCATGGGCACACTTTTCAGGACAGCGCCCATAAAAAGAGATAAAGAACAGTATCTTGTTATCAGACTAAAGGAAGTCAAGGTTATCCTGTTGTACAGAAGGTTGATGATAAACAAAGACAATGCAGAGAAGCAGTAAAAACACTTTTTTTTTTTTTTAAAAACAATCTTGACTCACATAATCAATGACTTCAAAGCCAACTATACTGGTAGGGAACGGTTTACACAAAGTAATTCAGTTTTAACCTACTCCCATCTAAGGTAATCTTTTGAGGAGCAATTGTTTGTGCAAGGATGAGGAACACCAGGGTTTAGGATGCAGCCCTACGGCAGCACATCAGCAGGAGGAGGGATGCAAGGGGGGTTTCAGGCATTTTCAGGGCCATCAGAAGATGATGTGGAGGTGGGGCTC